ACCTAGAAAATTAGAGGTATGTATGTATGTCTGGGGGAACATACATAATTAGAAACTAGAGGTATGTATGTATGTTAAAGGTATGTATGTATGTCTGGGGTAACATACATACCTTGTTTTCGGAGGTTACTAGGTATCCGGGCATCCCCTGCCTCTCCCCCCCCATCTAGGTATGTATGTATGTATGGTCCAAAATTAAAGGTATGTATGTATGTCTGGGGAAACATACATACCTAGAAACTATAGGTATGTATGTATGTATGTTAGAGGTATGTATGTATGTCTGGGGAAACATACATACCTAGAAACTATAGGTAGGTATGTATGTTAAAGGTATGTATGTGTGTCTGGGGAAACATACAAACCTAGAAAGGTATGTATGTGTGTCTGGGGAAACATACAAACCTAGAAACTATAGGTATGTATGTGTCTGGGGAAACATACATACCTAGAAAATGAAAGGTATGTATGTATGTCTGGGGAAACATACATACCCAGAAACTAGAGGTATGTATGTATGTCAAAGGTATGTATGTATGTCTGGGGAAACATACATACCTACAAAATTTTAGGTATGTATGTATGTCTGGGTTCGTAGTGATACTTTTAGAACCCAAAAGGGGTTATCCACGGTAGTGATGCAGTGATGTTACAAGGCTATTTTTCCCCAGTTTTTGCTGTGGAACGAGAGCGCGTGGCGTGCTATGTAGCAATCACTATACCGGAGTGCAATTCTAGACACAAATAGTGCAGTTTTTCGATCCTCCCTGTTGATTCTCGACACGCTTCCGAACCCATGATTTGGCAGGTGAAGCACACTTTCCATCATGACTCACATCATGAAGGGACTCTCATGACTCACATTCACGTCAAATCCTTTTGGACCAGCCCAGCTATCCCATCCCCCCCTTCCCCCGGGTTTAACCCGGTGCGAAGAGACTTCCGCTGTTCCAGACGGAGAAAAACAAACCAACGAGGTCCTCTCCGCCTCGCAGCCGAAGTGGTGATCGGAGGCCATGCAGCGGATCCGCAGGAGGCGCTTGGCGAAGGGCAGCGCCACCTGGAGCGGAGGTGAGGCGGTTCGCGGTTTCTTCAGATGGCTATACTGTCATAGCAAGTAGAAAACGGCCGAAAGCCCACTGGGGAAAAGGTTCTAGCCGCAACGAGGGAGGACTCTGTCACAATACTGAGCCTTACAGTTCCATCAGCTCGATGAACTTCAGGTTTCTGTCTGCAAATCCAGGTCAGGATGATCTTACACTGAGTCGGCTTAAGGGATGTTGTGAAACGAAGAGCTCTGGTAGAACAAATGACCGACTACATGAACTACCACAGGCCACACCTCACTGATGAAGCGGTTGACTTCAATTCCTTGGAAGATGGCTACTCTCAATTTGACTTCCAGAACGACCTCCTCCAGAATCTTGTTGTTCAAACCACAAGCAAGGTCAATGCATTGAGCAAGTCTGATGGGGCTTGACCAGTAATATTCTAGTCACACTTGTGATCTGCATCAAATATCTAATATTAATTCATCATCAAGTATAAGTTGATCCATGAAGTTCTTTACAACAAGACTTCCTCCTTGGATCATCATGTAGTATGTTCAGAACTTGTATATGGGATCTTCCTTGTTCAAGATCGGTACCATCAAGCTGAACTTCCGAAAGTGTTGTGGGAACCAGAACCAGGCTGCCTTGAACTCCATCATAAACCTCAAGAGTCTGTTGCAGTCATATAAACAAAACATATATATATGTATATAACTATAATTATATACATGCATTATGTTGTTTTGCCCACCTCTTGACTCTCTCCGCGCATTTTGCCGGGGTCAAGTGCCATCTGATGAAAAGGCAAATGACTAGTGCCCTCTCCCGATCAAGTCCTCCTAGCCCCCACCTCCACGCGTCCCAGCTCGGCAGCAAACCTCTGGTTTGTTGCGCGAACTCTTTGGACAAACGCAGGGTGTAGTACAAAAGCCATGGACTTTTGGAGGGCTTGATCAAGGCAGCTGCGGGCTGTCAAATTACAAATGTTTCCACGGCCTCTGGCCAAAAGCTGGTCAAATTTACATACCCTGGGCATAAGCCCCTCTCCTTCCCCAGCAACTTAAAAGCTGCGGTGGGAAGTCAAAATATGTTTCCAGCGGCCTTTGGCCAAAAGCTGGTCAAATTTACATACCCTGGGCATAAGCCCTCTCCTTCCACAGCAACTTAAAAACTGCAGTGGGAAGTTAAATTATGTTTCCAGCGGCCCTTGGCCAAAAGCTAGTCAAATTTACATGGCCTGGGCATAAGCCCCTCTCCTTCCACAGCGACTTAAAGGCTGCGGTGGGAAATCCACGAATTTCATAGGCATGCGTCGATGACTCAGGAAAAGGCAAAGCTTGCAGTCAGGCAATCCCGCTTTTCTCACTAAAGAGAACCGTTGCACAGGCACGCACGTTTGTGGCGCAGCTTTAACGTCATGTATGAGAAAGGATGGCCGACTGGCCTTCTGCTCTCGGCAACACTACACCTCTCCGGTACAGTTGGAAACCTTGCGCTCACCGAGACCATCGCCACTTCCACAGCATTATTCTATAAACCAAAACCAACTCCTGCAGCGCCACCGTATAACGTTCTGCAGGTCCTCGTGAACCTTGTTGTACTGACAGCCTTTCTCGGACTCTCTTCTCTTCATTTCCCTCCTGGGCATCCTTCTCAAAGCGCCGGCTTGAGCTGCTTCGACCTTTTGACAAAGCAGCCAGACAGATCTGCGAATGTGACAGGTGAAGGAAACGGCATGAGTGGAAAGCAGCTGAATGGGCTCGTCACTCCAAGCTCCTCAGGATTGCCCTCAGCTCGTGCAGGTTGAGGTGCTCCTTTCTTTGCCACTCGCGCACATATACAGGGGCGACACCCTAGCTGCTGACTCATTTCTTTTATACCTTCATCATCGCCGACCGCATTTTCAACCATCTTGACACACCACACTCTCATCTCTCTTGCCACATCTTCAATCCACCCCAGAACCTCCACATACTTATAGAAAAACTTGGATCGAGGATCCTGTAGGTGAACTCCCTGGCACGGCGATCAGCCACCTGCGATGACTCCTGTCAGGCCCTTAAGCGATGTCAGCCACCACATCACATCCTGGCCAGCGCATCTTGTTTAGGCTTCTGCAATCCGGATCCTTCTCAATCACCACCAGGCGATCAACCTTTTGGCCTGCTAGCTCCAGGGCCCAGCTCAGGCCTCCAATCCCCGAAGGAAGTCAAACACCAAGACGCTCTGCGGCTCCTCCAGGTTGATCCCCTCTCCTCCAACATCATCTGCTTCCTCCTCAAGCGGCTCACATCTCCCGGGTTCAAGCGGTCAGCTTTGAGCCATACACAGATCCTCCTCCGGTCTCACACGCCTCCGAAGCACGCGCAACTCCACGCAGCCTAGCTCCCAGTCCTCAATGCTTGACTGGATCCAGCCATCAGAACTACTCCACTGACTTTGCGTCAAGTTGAATGAGGCTGCACCGTCTGAAACGTCCTTCCACAAGTAGCTGAACACCCCAAACAGTGGCCTGCGGAACTGAAGTGTGTGAACTTCTCGTTCCAAGAAAAACTGGAGGGAATCTCTCTTGGCGTAGCAGCCAGAAAAACCAAGGACAGATTGTCTAAAGCTCTCTTCGTCGAGCCCTTCAGTGTGCCACTATCACCATCTACTACTGCCCCTAGCCTTTCTGCTCTTCGCTCATTTCCGAATGCGCATAGGCAGGCCCCACAGCTTCTTGTTCTTCTGAACTGTTTCCTTCCAAATCCTTCGCAAGTCTAGAATCCACGATCTCAACAAGACTTGCATCATCAAGCTATAGCGACCATAGTGCGTCCTCCTCCTCTAGGTTGGGAAAGACGCTGTCTCTACGGATCTCACACTTTCCCAGAAGACCTCCTCCGCCACTCAACGGCGATCCCAGGGCCAATCTTCGATGGGCATGTTGCAATACTCCAACTCACACAAGGTCATCCGCACTCAGTCGGACAACCTTCCCAGCAGGCAACACTACGCGCTGCAAAGCCGGCGCTCCCATCAAACTCCTCACATCTCCCTCTAGTACTCTAGTTGCCGCATTCGTTCCTTTGAAGTCCATGATCAACCTCAAAATGGGGCGTTTATCATCTAAGAACTTTCCCGGTTTCACTACTCCAAAAGCTTCCGCTTACCAGGAACTTGCCGCGGACTAGCACCGGTGACGGAACTCTCTTCACCAATCCTCTCTTATACAGCTCAGCTGCAATCTTCTCCCATTCTTGCCTCGAGGCATGAATTTGAGTTCGTGGGATTTCTTGTGGCATTCCTTCCTCAGGAAGGGTGCTGCTCAGAGGAATGAGGAGCTTATCTCGCAGTTCTCCCTCACACAGGCTCAACAAGAGGCACCGAAGCTCCATATCCCTCAGGCGGCAGTCCAGGTCTTTTCCACAACTTCACCTTGGTAGGAGATCCTCACGTCGCGACAAATCTTCAAACTCAGGGTCCTTCTCGATGATTACCAGGCGATCAACTTTCTGTCCTGCTAGTTCCGAAGCCCTGCCTACGGCTTCAATCTCAGTAAAGAACTCAAACACTAGCACACTCTGTGGCTCATCGAGATTCACCCCTTCTCCTAAAAAATCATCCTCCTTTTCTTCCAGGGCGCATATCTCTCTCTATCCTCTGCTGGTCAACTCTGAACCGTACACCGAGCTTCCTCCTGGCTCGCTGGCATCTGAAGCAGTCACTACCTCATGCACCTTTGACGTCAGGTCAGTTACTCAGGCTGGTTGCAACCTGCCAGCAGGATTTCCTCCACTGGCTTCCCCTCCAATTTCACCAATCCTTCACCATCAGAGATGTCTTTCCAGGCACAATCACAAACACCAAATTGGGGTCGTGTGAATTGCAACGTATGGACGTCCCGACCCGATATAACTTGCAATCCTTTTCGAAGAACCCGCTCTCGCCGCAAAAGAAGGCTCTTCTCTGTAAAGAAAGGGGAATGCCCCAGTGGGCATAGGCTTGTCTCAAGGCCTCTGCTCTTCAGAGCTTTTCCCTTCCAGATCTTTAGCAACCCGAGCCCCCATGATCTCAATCGTCTGTGGGTATGTTGAAGCACTCTCACGGTCGATGACCATCCCATCCGTAGGTTGGCTGCGCCAATGTATGTATCACCTTCCTTTTAAAACCCCAAACTTCGCCAGGAGACGTTTTCTGCAAAGGTCCTCATCACTAGACATCCCGGTGGCTAACCAAAGAGGTAGAAGGCGGACACCAAGTCACCAAGCCATCTGTGCTCATTCTTACGACCTTCCCCTCTGGTGGGAAGACATGCTGGAGCGCCGACCTTGGTGGCGGCAATTGTCCCTCTGAAGACTAGAATCACTGGCCGATCATCCAAGAACTTGCCTGGCTTTATTGACCAGGCCTCTCCCCTTGATCTTCACCGGTTGTTCGACGGTCTTCACCAAACCTCGCCGGTACAAATTCAGCTGGTATCTTTTCCCCCTCCTGCTTTAAGCGTGGATGTGTGGACTAGGGATCACCTCCGGCATCTCCTCCTCCAACAGGATGTTGCTCTCGGGCTTCTCGGAGTTCAACATCGTACTTTCAAACGCAAGTTGGAAGGCCTTTTTGTCACTTCCTCCAAACTTTCTAACATCTCCTTTTTCAATCAGGCGCGTCAACTCACCTCTTTCATCGGTCCAAAGCGGCCGGGGGAAAACATCCTCTGCCTCCCCCCTCTTGCCGTCGTCAGACCCCGGCTTTTGGACCGCACCAAGTATTCCCCAAGATTGGTGCCACTTCTCATTGTCATGGTAACCAGTGCCAACAAGCCTTCCGTTCTTCAAGCCCCAACAGTTGATGTGTACAACCTATCTTTGATCTCCTTTGGCCAGCTTTTCCTTGCATTCGTTCGATTGTCTCGGCAAAGGCGATATGTCACCTTGCCATCATTGAGGTACTTCTGTCCATACCATTTAGAATAGCCGTCAGTGGCTATCAGGTGATCTCCTCACAGCAACTCATTCCAGTCTTCCAGGGTGTCTTTGGAGAACCAGACCTCCTGCTCCTCCATCTCTGCAAGACCTCAAGGCTCAAGCCTATACGAGGAATAGGATCCTCAGGACCCCCTCTCACAGAGTGGAGAGCTTACGGGAAGGTTCACTCTCTCTACCGGTGCCTCTTGCGGCTTCTGCTTTGCCCTCAGCCGCATTTTCGTTGTTGCTCCCTCCGGGTCCTCTGTCCGGCTCCTCTCTCTTTCTCAGCTGGATCTGTCTGGTCCTCCTTGTCAACCTCAGCGGACTTCAGAGCCTCAAGAGCCTTGTCCCGTCCTGTACAATCACCACAGCCCTCAGGGCTTTTCTTCTCTTTTGGCGATCTTGCAGGTTCTGACACTCGAGGAACCCAGGAGCCAACAAACTGCATAACTGCTTCCAATTCCTTCTACTCTGAATACTCCATTTCGGACATCATGAAAACGTTCACCAAACGCCATCGACTAACATGTACCAACTCCCTGCTATCTCCTCGACTCAAATAGTCTCTGGACTTCTTTCTATCATCTTGGCAGAGGTGATACGAACACTTGACTTGTTTCAGGCACTCCTTACCGTACCACTCATAGCAACCATCACTGGCGACCCGGTGATCACCGACCAAATAACTTCGTCCCAGATCACCCCAGTCTTCGACACCCATGCAAACCTTCCTCTGAAATCTACCATTCCAGACATAACACTCTGCCAGCATCACTCCAAACTTCAACGCGTAAACAGGCTTTTCCTTGGGCTTGGCCATCCCAACCATGGCACTCGTATTCCATCACACAAACTTTGCCCAGGACCGACTCAGCCTAACTCAAAAAAACATCATGGTCTTTTCCATCTACCCAAATCATATGATGGGGCAGAAGGCCACTCTGCAAGACATCATTCCAATCTTCCCAACTTTTGGTTTTCCATCTTCACTTCCCTCTCTTGCTCTCTCACTTCCTTCTCCCTCTGACTCAGGTCCTCCGGGCTCCTGCCCAGGAGGGATAGGACCCTCAGGATCCCCTCCCGAGAACAGAGAGAGTAAAAGCTTTGTAACCTTATCTAGTGGCCTTCTCACACCCCAGTTGACAGTGGCCTCTGGAGTCCCCTACTCCCATGGGGGAGTCTAGGGCCTCCAGAGGCCTAACTTGGCCACCACTTGCCCCCTCACCCCACCGGGAGCGCTGAGGGCAAGAGGTGGTCCAGCAACAATCAGTTTTCAACCACCTGACCTCTCTCCACCTTCCCCACAAGGAGGTCTGGTGGGAGAGGCCAGGCAGCTTTGACTTTGAAAAGCTACCGGCGGGACACACAACTCATGCATGTTATCCCTTGGGGAGAGCACATATCCCAAACACTCCGTGTATGCAAATATGCAACCACCAAGTGTAGGCCATATTTGCATACGTGGAGCATCTGGGTATATATAGATTATACATGATTATACATGTAGGACTAGACCTGAGCAAAGGGCATTGAAGGGAGTGATGGTCAGTGTGGCATAGAAAGGGTGGGGTAAGCATGTCACAAATTGTCATTGATTGAACCTATATGAGCTTTGAATAGCTTTGAACGACTTCAAAGGATTGTGCTTCTGTGGTCGGCCTGTTGCTAGCACCCTCCCGTTACAAGGAACGTTCAGGACTCGAAACGCCACCGACTTTCAAGGCCTCCTCGTCCACACCAAGGACCTCGGGAGCAGGAGCGGACGAAACCATCTTCAAGGGGTCTATCAACCACCAGAAACTGGGCATGGTGCTGGTTTTCTTATGGTATAGATATCTGGAATTGTTCCACTTCCTAAGAATTCCCAAGGCCTATTTACTGCGGGAGAAAGGAGGCACACATAAGAGAGTGTCTGATAATGAGATCTGAGATCGACTGATTTATGGCATATGCAGCAAGAAAATAGCAAACAGTCATGCCTTCCCCATGTAAATGCTGTTTTGGAGAAGTCACGGTCATGCCTAAGTCACACCCACATGCAGTTCTGACAAATTTGCCCTTTGTCCATGCGGGGTGCCGCCGTCTTCTGCGCGAACTTCCACTCCAAAATGTTCTGTTAGCTCCAAAATGTTCTGGAGTCTATACTATAGACTATACCCCAAACCATCCAGGTATGGTATATAGTACATATGCCTACATTGACCCATAGGCTCATACACCAAACATGGATGGTCTGGATACCATAGACTCGTATGGATAGTCTCATCGCCTCGCAACCTGCTGGACTCATATAGGCTCGGTATACCCGAGGGACGGACCCCCTGTGCCTTTGCATCGTGTTACAAAGGGCCCTCCAAGCACTTCTTGGCAAATCGTAAAACCAAACAGAACATGATTTTATGCCAATCTCCGGGTTGGTCCGGGTTGGAGAATGTGGACATAATACTATGTACTTCTTGAAAAGTCGAAGAGCCGCTGATAGTTTTGCAGAAGTATCGCAGTTTTGCCCAGGGATTCAATTGGAATCCCCGGCAGGAGCTGGCCTAGACCATAAAAACTACTACAATAGACTACAATATGATACAATGGATCTGGAATTGTTCTCTGTCCAACTTTCCAACTAAAAAAAACACACAGAAAAAACACATCAAAAAAGCACAGACAAACAAACACACAGAAACCAAGTTGCCAAAAATAAATAACAGATGAATGCCACATGTTAGAACCCCCCCAAAAAAAACATCCAAACCGCACCGGTCTTGACCCGTCCGAGCACGCGGCGTAGGTCACGAGGCCGCGGGTTTCGTGCTTCGCGCGGTCGGCAGCGGTCCTCGGGTGGCCGGCGTGTGGAGCAGGAGGGAAGTGGATCGGTGAGACTCATGGGGTTTTATGGAGGTGGACACGTAATGCATATATATATGTATAACTATATATATGCTTTGTGGGATGTATTTATATATATATATATCTATATATAACGATATATAATGATATTTATATAATGTTTTGTGGTATATAATATTGCCGGTATGTATGGGTGGTATCTTGTTTTTGTTTGGGAAGAGATATGTTTGATTTTTGGGGGCATGTAATCGTGGCAATCACAAAAATCAATTAGAAAATGGATCTGTGATGTCCTTCGGGCCTACGGCAGATTAGAAACAATCTCTGCCAGACTGAAGCAGCTGGTTTATATAGACACGCATGGTCTGCGAGTTGCGATTCTGGTGGTTGTGTCATTCCTCAACTGTCAATGCTCTCTTGATATCTCTTGATCCACCGCTAAAGGATCTGGACTGGCTTCGAAGAAAGCCCCTCGTAACTCCCCGCGTAGTTTTTGAAGTTGAATGTCTTCAGTTTAATGGTGGTTGTCCTCTCAGAAGAATATATGGAAGTTGATCCGTTTCTATTAGCCCAAAAAGTTGCAAAAGCGCCTCTCCAAAAAATATCTACAAATGTCTACACTCTACAGTTCGTTCAAACTCCATATTTTGCCCCTCTTCTAAGCCCGGGACATGGCCAGCTCGGCAATGCCGTCCAGCCTCAGTGACAGGCCAAGAAATGGATGGAACTAATTGGGAAAATGGCCAGTGACGCTGTTTCAGATAGATCTCCCATGAAAAATCCGCAAGATCAATTTAAAAAACTTGATAACCCTATTCAGAAACGCTGATGATTTTCTTGGGACATGCTGGCTGTGGCTTCCTGAGTGTCTGTTCGTTAGCACCATCTCAAAAAAATTGCCATGTTCATCTGCAAATGCAAGGGAAACCAGTATTTTTCAGCAAATTTGCAAGATAGCCAGGCGGATCTAATTTGAAAGCTCACTGCACTGCCTACAGAATCTGCCGTTTTGAAGTTACGGTGGGTTCTGAAGTTCACATACTAGACATTGTCGTTGAGGTGTTTGCAAGGTAAAACAGTTGTGAGTGATTCCCCAAAGCTGGGGGTTCTTAAGTTCTCATCCGCGAGATGCATTTCGACCGCGCAGGCTCGCAAAAAATTGATATATGGGCCCGACCAGGCGCTCTTCTCGACTGCTCTCGTTGTTGCGCCGTGCGCATTTCCAGGTCACTGCTTCCATCCAACAAACCACATGCACATGGATGGTTTCTATTTTAAAACTCAAGCCGCATGGACCAATGGTGTACACGCTGGATGCCACACTCAACCATTGCAAAGCGTCCCCCCTCCGAAGACCAACCTTCAGCCCCTTGATGTAGATATAACGGAAACATCCACTCGGCGGCAGGAGCCAAAGTAAACAAGAGCTCCGGGAGGTGCCCCGTCTGCCGGCATGCATCTTCCAGCGTTTGGCATTCCCCATGCCAGTACATCTCGAAGGCGGCCATATGATATCAGAAGTTTGCGGAACCATCTTCTTTTGTTCAGCCAGGTCGACCACGCTGCTATAAAAGCCCGCGCCATTGCCACTACACAAAATGCACTGGAGGAAATAGTAGCAGCTCGTCTCTTCAAGCTGGGGGTCAAAAAGGGCAAATCCGACACACAAAAAGTTTTCAGCCGCATGGTCAGATCTGCGTCCCCCGCAAGGAGCATAAGGATACGCCAGCAGGGGCGCCCACTTCCAAGCCTTGCAAGCACAGCGGCGCGGCCGTCGAGGGCGCAAGGGAAACCTCGATCGCGCTTTGGTTGTTCACTTTTCGTGGCAGGTGCAGGAGATCAGAGCGGTAATACTTCGATGTGCGGATTTCGTATCAGGCGCAGCATTCTGCGGACCTTGAAGCGCAGATTTCGTTGCACACGCTTGAAGTGCACGAATTGTGGCAGGGGCAGCGCTTTGTGGACCTTGAAGTACAGATTTGTTGGCAGGCGCAGCACTGTCAACCTTGAAGTGTGGAGTGGCAGGCGCAGCACTGAGAACCTTGAAATGCTAGCGGCCTCCTCCTCCTCCTCCTCCTCCTCCTCGCCTTTGAGAGCCTCCACCCTTTGCGCGCCCACCCACGGCAATCAAGCGCATACACCTTCCACTCCCCGATTCAGCTTAGGGAATGAGGACACCAGTGATGCTTCCAGCATCGCTGCGGCCTCTCACTAGACCAATTCAAAACCTGATTTGTGAACCTCCATCACCGCCACCACCACCATCACCACCACCATCACTGTCACCACCACCATCACTATCACCCACCATCATCACCACCACTTCCACCACCTTCACCACCACCACCACCACCACCACCATGACCAGCAGCATCACCACCGCCACCACCGCCACAACCACCACCAACACCATCATCACCACCATCACCACTGTCACCACCATCACCACTGTCACTACCATCACCACCACCACCAACAACATCACCACCGCCATCACGGCCATCATCACCACCATCATACGCCCATCTACACCTCTGACCTTTAGGCGCGCGGTTTAATTAACATGTTCATCGCCGTCAAAGAACCTTGCCACTTGGCCATCTTGACAATGGGTTGTTGCCAGCTGCGTTCAGCCACCCCTGACTCGTATCTCAAACAAGTAAAGGGAAGGCGCCTAAAACAGTCTGGCTGCTTTCCAAAACTCACTCCACATTTGTTCGACCTCACTTGCAGCCTCGCCAACATCTGTGAAGTTTTTATCACCAAACAGAACGGCGTTGAAGCACCTCGTCTAGTTCCCCGGTTCCCATCGCGGGAACCCCGGACTTGCCACTTCCGCATCACCAGCTGGGTCCCGTGACTGGGTGTGCTCGACCAAGTTTTCATATGGCTCCACCTTGCGGGTCGACACCGCCACGCACGCCCCGTGTTCAGTCGTTGTGGGGGGCGTATGCTGTTACTACCAACTATAGCAGCACCTCTACTGCTGCTGCTACTACTACTTATACATACTGCCAACTACCTACTGCTGGCTTTCTGTTCATATTCCAGATGATGTTCAGGGTTCAAGGTCGATAGCTTTCCCCTTAAGAAAAATATGAAAGGCAATCAGTTGAGGTTGGTCCCCACTCAGTAATCTGCACTAGTACCCCCTTCAAATTTCATATTGTGTTTCAAGCCCTTTGTATATGCTTGTTTAAACTGATCACTATACAACCACTACCGAGCAAGCGCTAGATCGCAGTGGGCCCTACCGGACCTCAACAGGAAGCGCCAGATCGCACCGGACCCCAACAGCAAGCGCCAGATCGCAGTGGGCACTGCCGGACCTCAACTGCAAGTGCCAGATGGCAGTGGGAACTCCCGGATCTCAACAGCAAGCGCCAGATCGCAGTGGGCACTGCCGGACCGCAACAGCAAGCGCCAGATCGCAGTGGGCACTCCCGGACCTTGCCAGATAAAATGTCAGAACACATGCCAGATAGAAGGTCGGAATATATATGCCAGATAGAAGGTCAGAATGTACACCAGATAGAATGCCAGAGTGTTTGCCAAGTAGAATGCCAGATAGAATGCCAGTAATGATGCCAGATAAGATGCAAGCAATTATGGTAAGCCAGCAACTTTGCCAGATAGAACTCAGAGTATATGCCAAATACATTGTCTGATTTCATGCCAGATAGAATGCAAGGATATCTTTGATGGCAGAACAATTCTCGGAATACACGCCAGGACACATACCAGGACTGAAGTTGGTCCATGTGTCACAGCACATGTCAGACAGGAAAATATCAGAACACTCCCCAACAAAGATGTCAGAACACAGTTCAGAACGTTTCCCAGCCGTGATAGATGACATGTCAAAGCACAAACCAGATTTGATGCCAGAACCAGCGTCAGAACATCGTGTCAATCCGCACAAATTGCCTTTCAGGGTGGGGATCACTCGACGTAAAGTAATTTGAAAGCCAATCAGCTTGCCAATCACCTCTAGAGCAGCTTCCACCAAAGAGCTTTATAAAACTTTCCCCTTTGATATTGTTCGTCCAATTGGTCCAATTGGAAGAATCAATGGCTTGCCAACCTCACCTCTATATAGGACAAGTGCACAACCACTATCCCCCACACACACACGCAACATACGGTGGACAAAATAACTAGTATCCCTGACCTCTGGGTCCACACCCAAGTCACTCAAAACATGCAAGTGGTTGAATTTGTTGGCATCTTCCCTCCCAAGACTTGACACGCACCCCCCCTCAACAGCCCAGACACCGCGCTCCTTTGTCCCGAGTCCCGGTGCGACGGCTGGCGTCTCCGGCCCCGACCGATCGGATCGAAAAGGTCCCGACCGGTCGCCGCATGCAACACGTCTAAGACCAAACACATTCACCATCATTGGAGCATTCAAATTCAGACCTCCAAGTGTCTGCAAAAAGGGCTGAAGCATTGGATTGGGACACAGCGCTATACTCGTTCATCCACTGAGGAGAAGGGGGGGATAAACTTGACACATAAAACAACACAAAAGAAACCAAAGCAACAACCAAATACGTTCGCATCGTCTCACGTCGTTCGTCTCGTGTCCCATCGTCGGTGGGTTCGGTCGTCCGGTTGTTCGGTCGTTCGCTTCGTCCCACCGGGAACCGGTCGCGCCTGCGCATAGCACCGCGCCGGGTAGTCCAAGAGGTCGGGCAGGTTGATGCGCCTCGGGGTGACGGCGCATCAGACGCCGGTGTCGATCAGTGGGGCCGGTGAGACAGACCTGGAACCGAAGGTGGTGTGTGTTTCTTTTTTTGTGGGTAGTTTCAACATATACTTTATTTAGGTGTGTGAACCACACAAACATCCGCAAGCGAAGTGAACATCTGCTTAAACGACACGTTCGGGAAAACATACGCCTGTGGCTCACCAATAAACGCCCGTAGCTTGTGTAGAACGCCTGCGGAATATCACAAAAAACAACACACACACGCACATAACTAGAGAAACATCCGCAGACTGAATAAGGCTGTGACTCCAAAAGATGTGTTTCACGCCGCAGAAACAATGAAACTCTGAGGAAGTTCCAGGTATATTCCAAGCCTATATTGACTTAATTGTGGTTCTTGCAGATCCAGGGATGACTGCTTGAGGAGATCGAACGACCCCGGTAGAACAAACATACAAACACGCGAGGTGCCGGTTCCCATCTTGATTCGACATCTTTGGGGCCCCAAATGGCCCCAAACGGCTGTTTCATGGGATTCTGTCAAATCAACCTTCCAACTGACAGCTATATTTTAAAATATTTTGACCAGGCAAAATCATGAAAGCGGTTCCTAGGTAATTTGTTTAAAGCCCATGCAACCACTGGTTTGTTCATCACCAGTTCATGTGATGATATGCTGCGAATCCGACAGTTTCAGGAGCACAAATTTCTTACAGCCAATAGCTAAGGCTTAAGGGACAAGTCTAGATGGTCTGTGGTGTGGTTCAGAAATGAGAGGAACATCACAACCTTTGTTGAAATAAAACAAACCCTGGGGATCCACATACCCTCTGACAAGGCGATTGGAGACACTGTTATGTTGGTTTGGAGGGTCCAGTCGTACCTTCTGAGAAGGTGCTTGGATCCCTAAGGAAAATAACATATCCAGGTTGAATGTTGGTTGCTCTCACTCTGTGTCGGATATTCCCAGTTCAATGCCAGCTGCTTCCGAATCCAAGGAGTGTCCAATGGACTACCTTACACCAAAAACGTATATAGGTCTCCATCTCATTTTTGGACACCGCCTAGATGATGTGACATCAATTCTTCAGAATAATCATAGCTGTTCTTGGCCAGTCGCCTCTGCCGTCGCCCCCAATTCTTGGCCAGCGGCGAATTCTCACGCTGACCATTCGTCCTGTGCCAAGCCAAGCCCGTTGAAAGGATCCGCAGGGTTTAGTCCCTGAAATGTTCATGAGGGTAAACTGTAATGATCTAATAATCGGATCTAATACAGTGGTTTCAGAGCAGAAGGCACAAACCCCTATATGTCTTTTAGATGGGGCTCCATATAAACCACCGAACTTGGGGATCGTGCCGTCTACTCCGAACCCACTGTAACTATAGAATCTAGAAACCATGGACTCCTCAAGGCCTTGGTCAAACGGAAGACTATGTGATGCAAGGGGCGAACATATATAAGACTATGACTAATCAATTGGTACATCTATTGGCACTTACTTATTTTCTGAGGTGAACGGGTCAACTGCAGGTCCTGTTGACCCCCCCCAAAAGGAGCCGAGTCAATTGACCTCCTTTCGCCTCTGCACCGGTCCACCCCGTCCACCTCGGGCCGGGCCGGTCCACCGCCTCGTCTTGTCCAGCACTTCGTGGACCGACCTGGACGCGACGACTTCGCGGCGACGTGACCCGGTCGGTTCATGGGCCGACCGGTTCCAGTGCGAACCTGGTCTGACCAACTCCAGTATTTCATGAGGTCCGTTCCTCCCCTTGAGGGATCGTTGAAGTGACCGGGTCAGGACGTGGCTTCCGTGGGCCGTGTGGCCGTTCCAGGCCGGGGAGGAGCATGATCAGTTCGAGCGACGACACGGGTTCCGAACGACACGCTCCGCAGTTGGGAGCACGCAGAAAAGTGCGAGACTGGCACGTGCGACTAGACAGAACTCGACGAGCCATGGGATGCACAAACAAACAACTGAGATGTTTAAGTGGTTGTTAATGATAATTATTGTTATATATATAGAGATATTGTGTCTATCCTAATACCTGTATAACAGTGGATGATGATGGTTAGGTTGCAGGCCTTGTTCAAACATAGTGATAACTGTTTACTGACTGCTACAGGTAAGTTCGGATTCACCCAAGAAATAGATATATAATTTAGGCTTTGAGTGGTTGTTTCTCGGTTCCATCTGCCACATGGCGCCTCAGCAAAAGGCTACACCAAAAGGCACCAGCAAAGCCCGGTGGTCGCTGAAGTATAATGTACTGTACCTTGACCAACATGACTATATAGCTCCTCCACATGATAGGGATCAAGGTCGAGCTGCTGTTTCCACCCACCCAATCCCACCAACTGTCACCCCAATCAAACAATCACAAAAGAACCACCAAAACCAATCCAAAAAAAGGAAGGCAACTCCCATAAAACACCACACCGACGTGCGCGCAAGCATCCCCCACCGCCTCTATCGGGGCAAAACCCACGCCAAGCTCGATCTCTCGGCTTGAATCGGCTTAATTATCCATCAACCCCTGCCCCAAAAAAAAACGGCCGGCGTTCAGCGCCTCAGGTCGGGCAAGGGGAGATCCTTGAAGGAGTTGTCGGGCGTGACCATCTGAAACACCTCCGAGCCGGCCAGGCCACCCGCGGCAAACACCCGTGACGGCGCCACTCGCGACACCCGGAAGCGCCGCCTTCGGGGAAACCCGTACGACGCGGCGCGCAGCGTTTCGTCGCGTTTCGCGGCTGTTCTGTCCGATCCCGGCAATAACGCGAGCTGTTGGATCATTTGGTCGACGGATTTTTGGTTTCGGGAACGTGGTCGTCATATATCCCAAAGACGACCAGGACTGAGCCCGCAGTGGTCCGTCCCTGTTCTGTGAACATACGTATTGAGCTCCACATCTCACACCACACGTCCGTTTTCACGACCACACGTCAGACTCAGAATCCCAGACACTCCATGTATGCCATATATGCCTACATTGGGGTGGTTTTGGGGGTCAATGGGGCGGCATATATGGCAGTCCCATTAGTCGTGTCTGGGAATTGTATGTCGACGTGCTCCGATGATCCGAATTTGGGTGAAGAGGCTCCGAACCGACGCTACCCACGATGACCCCCTGAAACTCAGACGTCCTCCACTCCGTGAGCGAACAGAACTGATGATCCTCCATCTGTCACCAGTGGTTGGACCCTCACAACCCGCTTCGTGACTCGAATCGAAGGGATCATCCCCTCCACGTTGAGACCGTCCCAAGTTACATGGGTGGATAGCAACTTCTGTGGAAATGCCGCTGTTCATGTGTGCTTGGAATTGTTGGTGGGGGTCTGTTCGCTTCAACATCCAGTGTCCCTGAGTGACCGGAAAATTAAGACATTCACTCACCCAAAACCTGAACAACTCTCTGAAACAAATCATGGGAGTGAAGTTCAATTGCTGTTTCTGTAATTCAAGCAGTCTTCCTTTCGGGGCCATGTTCCACGTAACCATGTGTCTTGGGTCTCCTGGACCTTCAAGAGCACGTCTTACGGTGTCTTGTGTCCCCCGGGGAGCCTGGCCAGATGAACCACGCTTGTTCAAGATGCCATGCATGATGAAATCCAAAGATGTGCAACCACGTGGGGCATCTAAACAGGCATAGATAGACCTGGAAGGCCAGTTCCAAAAAGACCTGTCAATGGGTAAAACTGGATTGATGTCTGCCCTTGCTGCCGATGTCGTTTGTTCGACCACACTGTGGCACAATCGCACCAACCCTGATGGCACACCGGGGTTGGTGAGGAAGAAAGACTGCCAAGCCAAGTCGACCTCCTCTCCAGGTGTAAGATGTGCCATACAACATGGTGTCATAAGACAAGTTCCTTCCCTCGGTGTTGCCAGTGAAATCCATCATCCAATTCGAGGTTTGGGGACATGACCCATGGGATATTTGCCGATCAGTTGGGGAAGTGAGGGGTTTTGAAGCAATATATTCCAGTCCCATTTGTTTCTGGCAGGTGATGCGGATCCTGTCGAGATGGAGATCCACTTCCTCCCCCATTCTCCAGCGGCCAGCGGCCACGGGAAAGGGCAACCTCGGCGTCACCGCGCGCGGATCCATCTGTCGTGTGGCAGTGGCAGTTGGGTCCAACAGTGGGGGACCCTGGTTTTGAGCCTGGATTGACCACAGAACTTTGAACAGAATAGACTACTAAGGTTACTAAGGATTGGAGACGCTCAGGCGACGCTAGGTTCTGAGGGTCCAAGATGGTCCAAGTAGCTTCTGAGAAGGTACGACTGGATCCCATAGGGTAAGCAGGTTCACCGAACCCTAGGGCTCCTGGCCCACATCCTCACAAGGTCTAGGAGGTTGACAATGGTCATCAAAAGAGCCAAATATATAAGCCACCATCAAGGTATTCTGTGACTGACTACCTGGCTGGGACGCTGGTGATCGTGTTTATTGTTGCGCGTCGATGAAAGCTGGAACAGAAGCAACTGTGAATCCACCTGGAGCAAGGACGCGTGGAAAAACTCTTGGATCCACGGTGTTTTCATCATGTCATGCTGATTACAAGCTGTTTCTTTGGTATACAATCCACGAGCACACAGGATCACACAGGCACCAAGCTAATCTATCGATCCCACACCGATCACAAATACCAGGAGTTTTCAACACCGCTCACAGATACCTCAGCGTCCTGAAATCGGACTCCGGAGTCAAGGCTGCAGGGCGAGTCACAGTGATTCTCTAATATTCTAATATAGATTCCAATTCGAATTACCATTGATTTAATATGAGTTATAACCCCCAACGAAAACCATTGTCGACTATATATTATCTGACTATATACAATAATTAAGGATCACAAAACCAGGTCAACCGCATTGAAATGGTCTTTGAAGACTAGTTATTGGGTTGCAAAGCTGACCAAGGCACATGTTACGGATGGCCAACAAGTTGCCCAAATGCATCTGGAAACGCTGCACCTCGGCGGCTGGATCTGCTCGCACGAAACGTTGCGCGGTGGCTATGTTTCGGACTGCCCATGGGCACCGCTCTAAATTGGACTTCCCGCCGGAACCCATGACACCAACAGAAGCCATGACTCCAAGCTGGAAAACGGATCAACCCAAAAAGCGGCCTACAACTCCATGCAAAATTGTCAAGGTCATAGGGCCAAAGAGGTTTGTTTTTTCCAAGACCAGTTACAGTATATATCAGGCCATACAGTAGCAGGACCTTTGCGGGGGCACACCAAATGGAAAAAAAGAAACAAGGGCCGACCAAAATCCGTGCTGTTGTCCGCGGGCAGCGTCTTGGCTGTGACAAAGTGGAAACTGACAAATCTTGTGGTGACGAGGTGGGAAATCCGCATCCAAACGGTGTCTTTCCTCGTCGGATGTTGAGCACTTCAAGACTTTGCAGCCATTGAACCTCTGAATATACAATTAAGGCGATTTGTCCATTGAACAACTCAAATGCCTCCAGCCTCAAGCAAATTTAGGCCAGATCCCGGTGTACCTGCATGGGTATCATCTCCCACCTTCATCCGCCTTCCTTTCAGGCCCACCAACTGGACAAAAGGCCCACCACACATGGAAGTCGCGTTGCATCCGATCATCGTAGGGAGTGCGTGAAACGAGGTAGGTGGACTGGGACCATGACGTCATATGTATATTGCCACGTATTACAATGGATGTCTCCTCTCCTTCTGGAGCTTCCCAAAACTTGAGCTTTCCCTATATATAGATGGCCTGGGTTTTTGCTTTGGAAGTTCAGTCAGTGGAAGCTGATAAGGTTCATGTGGACTGCGATGGGGTGTGCGCATATGGGGCAACATACACTTTAGCCAGGCTGACCTCAAGTGCGCACCTTTCTCAAACTTGCAACTCTGCAACCCCAACTCCCCGGAAAACTATTGACAGCCATCCGGCGACCTCGAGAAAACTAAATGACAAACTGCTCAACGTTCGCTTCCACTACTGCTTCCGCTTTCTTTGGAGAATCGGCCTGCTGAACGTCCTCCTCATCCAGAGCTAAGGGCAGGTCCTGACAATGTGCCATGCATGACGGGCAGGTCCAGGGTTCGACGTACGAAGGTGGGTGGGAGTCCCGGGGGTCCTGGTTCTTGTGTCGAACAGAGCTGCGGTTCTTTGGCCTGTTTTGGGGGTGGCACGGAGCCACAAACGGAGGCGCATCTGTAAAAAAGGCCTTCTACCAGCAGTGTCGGGGTGCGATCCGTGGAGGTTTTGGGTGCCCCTGTCACATCCACTCACTGGATGGGACGAGCCACACCACCCCCATCGAACGTGACTCCGTAAGAAGGTCGACCGGTCGACCGGTCGACCGCTCTCTGGCCGTGGCTGGCTTGGTGCAAGCGACACGGTGCACCGAAGAATTGGCTTGACGAAACGACACGTCAGGAAAGTGACTGACAGGCACTGACAGGAGTGTCCTTCAAGATATAATATGCAGTATATGTGCAGGACAGTATATGTGCTATTATACAGTATACCAGTACCCTCCAACAGGTCACCACCTGCGACTTTGAAGTCAGCAAAAGGCCTCCATTTCGGAGACCTGTAGAGTCGGGTGCTGGTATGTGTATAATGTTCATATACTTTTCCAAACAAACGTATGCATCCTTCGGCATCTTCCTTGGTGATCAGGACCCGACACCCACGGGAGTCGGGTGGGTATAACGGTGGCTCCAAGATGTTCCCAATCCAGGTGGAGTTCTTCCATCCATGAATGCTGGAAAAAAGCAAACCAATTGGGACCGAATCGCCCCCCCTGCCATGCATTTAAGGACCTGGAATTGTTCGGTGGGACGAACGCAGCACAAAGAGCTTTGCCTACCCGAAGTAGCCCCAGGTTCAGCTCCGTGCTGCTTTTGAGAGATATGCAAAGAATATCACGAGAAGCCTAGCTCACCATTAATTCCCCCCAAAAAGACCAGGCCATGTCTACTAAGACCATCCAATGTAAGAGTACCCAACATGCATTGATACTCTCTAGTGATGTCTCCAAAAGCCCCAAAACACCCGACCCTGTCGGGTAGATCTCTGGGTCGCTACTCGTCTGTGGACCGAACGCCGGACCTTCTCGGGGTGTCGGACCTCATGTCGGACCTCGTGACCTCGGACGCGTAGGTCGCTGCTCTCCTGTGCATCGATGTAGCCGGAAAGCTTCATGTAGGTCCGCAGAAAGAGGCTGAACTTCGTGCGATCGCCTGAAAACCGACCCCCACCAGCGACCGGCGAAACGCGTTGGCACCACCGAGCCAGCCGCGGCACGGCCGAAGAAGGGCACGGCCCGAGTGGCCGGGATCTGGATACGCCAATGGGGACGCCTGGTGATGAAGTCCTTTTGGTCATAGGTGCTGATCCGAAAACCGAATTCAGAGTGGTCAGAAATGGTCAGAATCGGACAGGAAGAGACTTGAATAATCTTGAAAAACAACAAACTAATGATGGATGAACGCGGATAAACGTGTTCTTTTGATCTGCAGTGTGAGGGTGGCTCAGTAATAGTTTTTACATGTTTAACAGTATAGACCAGCAGACCGTAGACCTGTCAAGTCACAAGCAACTAAGCACAAGCCGAGTACCTTGCGAATCATGGATTTGGAACAGCTGAATATTAAGGCTGCCAGCTCTCTATGTACCGACAGGTCTCTGACATTGGAGGCTTTTGCAAACGGAGTCGCTTTTGGGAGGCTTCTTGACCTGTTGGAGGGGTCCTGGTAAGTGACTGCAGCATGGATTTTCAACCATCGCGGCCACATGGATTGTAAAACCTCAGGTTGAAATACAGTCTACATCCTCGGACGTTGCTTAAGGAACCTGAAACAAATGCCGGGCAAGGCCCAACAAATCGCCTGATCGGCAAAACCAGACATCCGTCATCCGTCATCCAAACTCTAACCACGAATCCATCAACTTGGACTCGGTCGAATCCGAATGCGGCAGATCCCCATCCACAGTGGAAACCACAGAAATCCGCGTACGGCGTATACCCGCCCTCTCCGAGCGGTGGTTTTGGTGAAGAAGCGAAACACGACCTGTCTGGGCATCGCTAGTCACAAGGGTAACTAGTAAGCGATGCCCTTGTTACTACCTGCGACCTGCGGCTCCATGTCGCCCCACCCATCCATCCCGTCCCGGTCACCGTCGCCCGCCTCGCCGCTCGGCTTCCGCCTCCCTCGCGCGAGAACACGGGTTTTGCGAGCAGAACTTGGAGGTCGGAATTCATGGTGTGAGAATGTGGGCTCCTTTTCCATGTGAAGCCCAGAAGTCAGGCTCTTCAATTCATCCGTTCAATTCATCAGTTCAAGTGGAGCTCCAAGTTTTGAAAGCAATTGAGGCTGTGCGCTGTGCCGTGGCTTTAAGTAGGTTGCACGCTGTCAATCATAAAGTTGAAACAAATAATGTTCATACGATCTCTATATATATATATGAACGTGCTGTTCTTTTGGTCCCCAGAATTTAATCAAACAATAAGAATTGTTGCATATGTTTGCACTGTTGGGTGGCAGTCTGGGTGCAGTGTTAGCAACTGCTATTGATGGAAGATAGATCCTGCAGCACTGAGAGGGAGGCTGAATCCAGTGGTAGGCAGAGTTTTGCACCTTGCCTTTCTTCCTCCATCGCACCTTTCCAACAAACCGACACCTTTTCATTGGCACAAGGTCTGAAACCTCAGGTTCAGTCTCTTTATTATACATATATGTGTGAAGTGGTTGGGATTAAGAGTTGGCGGTTCTTTTCCTAATTTGTGACAGGTTGCAGGAATAGAGGAGGGGCCAACCTTGCAGGAATTGCCTTACCACGTCTGAAGGCTCCAACGCCCCTGGTTCCCCAACACAACACATCACATGCACAAAATCTAACCCTTGACCCTTGAGCTTCATTCCGCGAAGAAGACCCAAGTAATGTAGACTTTTGATTAATAAACCCCCAACCCCCAGTTAACCAAGAATCTACTGTCCTTGCCCAAGCAAACTGACCGACGTATACGTACCGTCGCGTACCGGAAGATCGCGTACCACCCACCTCGGTCTCAGGCGGGCACCGGTTGCTAAAGGTCCTGGTCTATTGCGCAACGAAAAAGAAAAAAACATGCGGTTGGCGGAAAATATAAACAATCGAAGGGAGCGAAGGTAAGGAATTACATCACGTATATACCATTGGATAAAAGTGATCGATCTGCTTAGCAAACGGTTCTGTCGAGTCGAAGATAACCTCAATGTGTGCGTTCCGGAGTCTAGCAGGGCACCTCATTGTAAAATGGTGTCCCTTCCAGCAAACATCACAGGTTGTAGAATGGAGGGTTCTTAACTTGTCACTGGAGTTCGAGTGAGAACCCCCCGGATCATGGGAAAAAGAACGATCTCGGTATGTAAGACAAGTTGTTTTGACCAGGCATGTGACGACTCGTGTCTGCGCCACACGATGCTATTGACACTCCCTCGTTTCTCATCAACCTGAGAAGCTGCAAAACGAAAGCCAGCGCTTCCCTTTCTCGAGAA